GTTTTAGAAAGGGTTGAAAAAATTAAAGAAGGTGTGGCAGAACATTTTAGGAACATGTTTCCAAAATAAAAGTCTTGTTTGGTTTACTATCAGTGGTGCTGTGGGAGGTGCTAAGCAGAGTACAAATCATGGAAGATCGCGAAGATTGCTGGAAATGGATGCATGATGCAGAAGGGAGATACGTAGTGAAGAAGGCTTATGAGTTTCTGTCACCAATGGAGTCCATTCTTCCTGATCAAATCTGTAAGTTGATTTGGTGTAAATTAGTACCCTCAAAAGTTAGTTTCTTTGGGTGGAGATTATGTTTGGACAGACTCCCAACAAAAAGAAATCTAGAAAAAAGAGGGATAAATTTGTCGGTAGAGGAATTAAGGTGTGGTTTGTGCACTAAAGAGGAAGAGGAGTGTAATCATTTATTTTGTTTATGTGATGAAGCATGGTTAATTTGGGTTCAAGTGATTTCTTGGTGGGGCATGCAGGTTGTGATGCCTAATACAGTGGGAGGGGTGATGGAGTTTTTCTTATATGAGTTGGGAGGTCTGGTAGGGAGGGAGCTAGGGGCTTGCCTTTTCCTGGTTGGGTCTTGGTATATTTGGTATTGGAGGAACATTAGAGTTTTCCAGAACAAAGGGGAGTGTAGGGACGGTTTGCTCCGTATGATTCAGTCCAAAACGTTTTTGTGGATCAAAAATAAGGTGGCTGGAAGTGTTTTCTCGTTATATGACTGGCAATTTCATCCACTGGAATGTGCTGCTGCCATAAGGAAGAATAGAAGCCTGCTGAGGGAGTTCCGTAAGCATAAAAATGGAGAGCATGCTGAGTAGGGTGATTGGTTTTTAGTTTGGTTTTTTTAGTTTAATTGTTCCTTGCGAATTGGTATCTTGGTTAGACTAGTTTACTAGATTGTATTTGGGTTGGAGTACCCCTTGTACTCTATCTAATCAAATCTCATTTATTTTGCTGATCAAAAAAAAAAAATTGTTATTTTTTTAAGCTTGGTTAATAAAAGAAATTTAACAATAGATAACAATAACAGTTATCAATATTATTAGATATTGATGGTTAGTTATC